CGAAATTCTTTAAGAAGTATACAAAATTGTATGCCTTATCTCTATTTAGGGATCGATAATATATCCTGAATAAAATACACTTTAAAATGAACTCTGTTTTTGCAAGAGGTATATTTGTATAAATGATTACGTTAAACTAATTTAGGATATACCAAGTTTGTCTTGAAATACGAAACTTCATTTTATAGCTCACCCTTTTAACGTTTTCAAGATAGCTTCCGATAAACATTTTACCGTGGGTGGTTTCATCCGGGTGTTAATTAAATTCGTCGTTCATTTCCATCTACTTTATTGCTTGGCTGCAATTAAAATGTTCTCTTTAGTTTTATTAAGATGTTTCACTTTTCTGACGTAGAATTCTGAGCTTCTATCTGAACTATTTATTGTATTTAATACTTAATATTCTGCAGTTTTTACCATGTATTTAAGATATTTCAGGATTATTCAGATTTTATAAAGAAGATTATAGCTATGATCTTTATGACGTATTTAATAAATTTATTAAATTAGTATGACCATATGAGCTAGGTGTTTGATAAATAATATACGAACTGTTCGATTGTATTTACATGTTTTGGTCCTTTCCTATAGTTGACTTTTAATCTAACGGCTTTATTGTGTAGTAAAATAAATTTTGCTAAAGACGTTTCAATAAAATTGAATGCAGCCTAACTCAATAAAGGCTTGGTGAGTCGGTGGCTCAGTCGGTAGCGTCGCGGACTTCGGGCCCAAGGCAGTAGTGTCATGGGTTTAACTTGTATCAGTACAGTTCACCTTTGTACTGTACCGGCTCACCCCTTGCTTTGCTGGATACGTTCCACGCACAGATCTGTAGTCTATGTGGACGGGCAAATGCAAGGTTAAAAGAGGCCGCCAACCTCTTAAAAAAAAAAAAAAAAAAAATACATAGTAAGAAATTTTTAATTTAGGACTGGAATTTTTAAGGCTTTTTACCACTATTATTATGTTACAGAAAATATAATTCTATAAAGAAATAAATTTAACCTGTGGTGTAAAACGTTATTTTACATTCTCAATAAATATAAACACTGTGAACTTTATTTCACGAATATTTTTGCATTTTTACTGAAAACGAACACACATGTGAAGAATTAGTGGGTTAATAGCTCTTGTGCAGCAACTCCGTAATTCAGCTCGAGATTTGTATAAAATATAAAATGTATCCCAAATTCTGTAAGAAGTATACTAAATTGTATCTTAGTTCTTATTTAGATTAACATAATTAGTTTTGCTACAATTGAGAGGCTTAAGACACGTGCTGAAGGGATAAGAGCCTGAAAACCAAATTAATCAGGAGTTTGCATAGTGTTTTCCACATTCAGATTATAAACCTGCTGAAGCACGATTCTGGCTGAATTATAGAAACCGAACATGACAAGCCCTGATTTTGTTTATCGTCGCACAAATGTTATTAAAAAAATATATATAATATTTTTCTTATTTGGATGGTCTTTATTCTCGCACATAGAATATTTCATTCTGCCGTTGTAAGATTACGAAATAATTTCATTGTCTGTACCGATGTTCCGAAGAATAGATAATATATCAGCCTTTAAATAACATGGCTTATTTTGAAAGAGTATTCAGATTAATGTATTTGAATTTGGCATCTGCGACTATTTTTCATTCTACTTTCTTGAAATTATTGGTTTCGTCATGACATTTCTTAACTGTCTGTTCTTTTCATTTCACAAAGCTATACAGCTATAAAGAAGGCATGATTTAACTAGGTATATGTAACCTTTAAAAAGATAAAGTTGATGAACTTTGGCATTTGCTAGTTGGCAACTGGATCCAGTAATTACATTTCTATATTTCATTTCAAAATTATTTACTAACATTTGATGCCTTATACTAAAGTTAGTTATCAACTAAAGTTAGTTAATGTTTCAATAACCATCATGTTTCGTAAGATTATTTTATAAAACTCGCCGTACATTTCTGACACAATAATGATACCATAGATGTTTATCATAACACTGTATAGTTTGACAATGGAAGAAGGAAGATTATTTATTATTAATTGACTTCTGAAAAACCACCCACTAGATAACCTTCAGTGTTGTAGCTTACGCATTCCTAATACTTGAAAAATGATTTTAGGCCGTAGCTATCATACAGCTGGGAAGATAACATTACTTCTAATGAATAATATTTGAAAACTCTGGATCTAAACTAGTTTTATCTTAAAAGTGCCTATTTAAAAGTAATTGACTCCTGCAAAACCACCCACTAGATAACCTCCAGTGTTGTAGCTTACGCATTCCTAGTACTGGAGAAAACTGATTTTAGTCTGTAGCTATCACGCAGATGGAAAGATAACAATATTTCTAATGAATAATATTTGAAAACTCTGGATCTAGACTGGTTTTATCTTAAAAGTTCCTATTTAAAAGTTTTAAATATTGCTGATTACCCAATTAGTTCATTCGTATGTTAGATGTCCATAAATTCAAAAAACTTTAAAATCCTGACAAATACGCTATACAAGATTATTTGACGATTAGCCTTGTAATGTTAAAGATCAATATACGTAGGTCTAATATTATTGAACTATTATATTATGTGATATAAAAAATCTAAAATACTATTTTATGCAGTATTTGCTGTCAACGTTACAAATTAATGTATCATTGAAGAGATTAACTAAAGATTTAAGGGTTTAATTCAAAATTGTGATCTTGGTAGTTTATGTTGTATTTTTTTTCGAAAGCAAACTTAATACAGCTGTAAACTATCAGTACCAGACCAAGCTATGAGAACGTAACGACTGTGAAATAAGTTGTTTTCCGTTGCTTCTTACAGACTCCGAGCGGAAAATTGAGTTTACTGATCAGTGATTTCATTTCTGAGGAATATTCACGCAATTGCGAGTTAGACTCTACTTTAAGCAACACACTCTTATAACTCTGCAATCACCTATCTCCAGATTTGTTACGTCTTGTATGTTGTTTGAACTGAACGAATCCGAACAGGTACTGAAATGTGTTTGAAGTGTTGCCTCTAAAGTATTTATTGTTTTTTTTTTATCTATCTGAATCAATAGTTTTATGGATCATACGTTTGAAACTTGAAATTTAACCTAAAATAATTTAGTTGTGTGAATTAAAAACAAAAATTACAAAGAACAAATTAAATCAACCAAACGAACTTAGGACTTATTTACTTGTTAAACCACCTAACCTAAAACGTGTTGTTTAGTATTTGAAAGACTAATTATATCTATGTTTTTTAGTAACTGTTGGTAAAATAAAATTTTTAATGCGAGCGCAAAGTGACTTTGCTTTTTTATTCGCACACTAGTTACACAAATGACTATTTTCGTCCATGCCGTTTTATGTTACATTTTTTTCAAGTATGATTACCCTAGCCTAGGGATATTCAAATCATTGGTTTATGAGGTCAGAAGATGGTGTGACATCATCGAATTACGTATTCATTCTCAGAGTAGAGGTAACGCATTAACAAAATTTAAGATTTGTATGTGCATTTTAAGTCAATTGAGGCCAAGGGTAATAACTATTAGTTTTTTAGTTCTATAACTGTATTGGTTCTGGTCTCCATTTTGACTACCGTATAATACATTTTCCCAATCATAATATGATCGATGAAAAATTACTCCCACTGAAAACAGCGAAAGACAACTTATGAAATAAACATATGGTATTAACAGCAATAAAACGAACAGCTACAAAAGTATTCTGCACTGCATAGTCCGTGAGTTAGAGTTTATTGATGCCAAATACCGTCACATGTGCTCCGAATTGTATTTGGATCCGAGTTTATGTACTTTATATGATCGTATTTACATTTGATTGCACTAAGTCTTGGTATTGGTGGTGATTTACTAAGCTTAAATTATTTAAACTTATGTAAATTTAATATAAACATTTATTACGCTGTGTTTATGATATGCAAAAGAGTTCTGGGATCAATTTCTGTCTTTCCAATATGATGAAAACATCTCCATTTAACTTTTTAAGAGGATGGAGTCATCTTGGGACCATATGCAGCATCTTATTTCAGCTGACGTACCAAATTAAATCAAATAGTATGGTGGTTTAATCGGATCAATATTGTGTATGCATATTCAATGACTTGTGCTTACGTTATGCTAGAGTGGATGGTCTGTTGCAGACCTATGTGCTCGAATGTTATTACATGTATTACAAATCAATCAGATGTAGGTCTATGGCTTGATACAATATGTACGTTGCTAAACACAGATATTACATTGATGTGGTAACCGAACTATTCAACTTCAAACGATAATATTTTATGTTGGTATTTAAACGTACTCTCGTCGTTATTGGTAAATGTAAAGGGTATTTAATTTTTACCACGTTTAAGAATCATTGTTTATCAGAGGTGGGTCTACGGCTTGATCACGGCGTGTGCATCGCAGCGAAAATCTACGTATACCTACTGTTGGAAAGATATGTTCCTGTGGATGTGCAGAATACCTTTGTATATTAAAATTGACTAAAAAAATAAGCTCAAAAATGAATTTAAAATGTAAAAAATAAAATGGGCCATTTGGGGTTGCCATGCTGGTGACGAAATAACAACGAAATATAAACAGAAAACCAAAACACATTGAAGAAATTCCAATCATCATACGTTTTATTTACTACACTACATTTTAAAAATGAATTTAAAATGTAAAAAATAAAATGGGCCATTTGGGGTTGCTATGCTGGTGACGAAATAACAACGAAATATAAACAGAAAACCAAAACACATTGAAGAAATTCCAATCATCATACGTTTTATTTACAACGTGAGGTAAAAATAGTTAAGCCTGTACATTACATATTTTTGGTTGAGTTTTACTGGACGACCTCTAGTTTATGTTAATCCTCTTCATCTTAAATCGCCACTTTTTGCATTCCTCTGCCTTTTGCAGATTTAAAAATTATTCATATTCAACTTATACACAAGCCATATTTATGATTATGATCATCTGTTTTCGGTTGCAGATTGTAGTGCCACAACCGGAAGGACCAGTTCTGAAGAACTAACCTAACCTCAACCAGTTGTGCAGCTAGCGTCTCTAGCGGACGCTGCAAACACTACACACGTGAGTTCTTGTATTTGTTTGTGTTTTTAAGGTCAGCGATGTTTTAAACTATACAGCTTTGTAGGATTATATCGAGGTACGTCATAAGCTTACTAGTAGTTTACATATTGTATTCATGTCTGGGATTTTCATAATGTACTTGACAACACAATTTTTCAAAAATAAATACAGAATTAAAAGTTAAATACACCATTTTTAATGTCTTTCAATAGTAAAGGAAATATAATATTCACTTGTATTAACATTGTTATTTCTAACGATCGCACATTTTAAAAATTATTCTCTAAAGCAAGACAACTAGTCATAACGGTGGGCTAATCCATGAACTACGGTTCATTTTAGTTAAAGATTGTTTGAATGAAAAAAGCTCTAAAAGAAAATTGAACGAAAAGAGAAACTACTGAAATTGAATCATGGAAGTTATATGCGTACCACAAAATTACCACAATGATGTCGTCATAGAATAATTAATCTAGAAAGATGAACAAGAGGGCAAGGCCAGCCAAAAAAGAATATGCAAATTTCAGACTTAACACTTTCGTTTACTTTAAACGATGTTTGTTCAACTGTTAACAATTGCTTCCCACTAGATAAAATTCATAATGTTTTGATAATTTCATTATCTGACCTCTAGGACACTGCAATTTACTCAGTATCCAACAAAAATTAAATAGCTTACACGCGATAGAGCATCAGAACGTTTTCTGAACCACAATCACTCAGTTTATGTCACTGGAAAACTCGGATATGAATGAAAGCCTAAGTAGTTAAACAGGGTGTATATTCTTACGACGTTGTTAAAGAGCAAAAATGGTTTATGGTCCGTAAATGTTGTAAATGGCTTGGTTTCTGCAAATGACGAAATGCTGTACTACTTCATACACACGTTCATTGTAGTAAGCGGGCCACTAAAGTGTATTTAAGTAAAATGTATTCATATTTTGTCCACATAAGGTCACAGTAAAACTATATCATAATCAACATTAACATCACTTGGTTCAATTTAAAATTATAGTCCAAACAAAATTCATAAAAAATGTCTTTCTAAAAAACATTGATATACTATTTTTAAATGAATACCATGAATGGTTCGTCGAAACCTCAAACTATCAAGTTGAACTATTACCAAAAGGGCATTGCTTAAATATAAGGTCAAACGACATAATTGTTGGTTTGTCGTGCAGTCTAAGCAGATACCCGTAATCATGAAGCAGTCCGAGGCCACCTCGACCCACTGTGGTCCTAGGTCAAGGTCAATGGCCTATCTCATATCTCATCTTGGCTCTCGCTGGATACGAGATATGCACGAGAGTCCAGGTCTGAAATGGCTGCCACAAAATTATTTACTGATAGTTGTATGCTACCACCATAAAATTAAGACTTGTATTGTGAGTTTGACATTTCCGTTTAACAGTCTCCCATGTCTACTTCAATACCTACTTTACTTTTACTTGAAATGGTGACCATACGAAGGTATTTTAAGTCAAGTATGTATGAGATGAGTGTAGTATGAGTGGCGTGATCTTGTACTCTTGTTACTAAGGCCGACATGTTCCATAGACAAGACTAATTAATTTACAATGAAAATTAAATTAAAAATAAAATATTTATTCACATTATTTCTATACATCAACATGTTGTAGAGCATTTTTACCAAGCAAAGATATAATTGGTTGAATTCTAACTACGATCCACCTCAGACTTCAACCATCCCATGATAACACTCTTATCTCGATCCTTACTGTGCACAACAACTTGTTAATTGGAGATCATAAGTGTGTAACCCAAAACCTAATTGCTTATATCTGAAGAGCTTTGCCATTTAATGCTAATATTAACATTCCCCCCTAGGTATTAACCACATTTCATGTTCCATGCTTTTGTATAGATTCCTAATATTAGTGATATTTGGATAAAAATACACACCAATTCATACGTTAAAATCACGATTTTTTGATTTGATTTTTTATTTTTGGTTTAAGAAAAATAAGTTTCTTTTGTTTTTTTACACACTAACAAAAATATTATATTCGAAGGTGACCCCCACTAGGTACAACATTATAATGATTGTAAACATAATTACGCCTTGTTAAAAAAAAAAAAACTATCTTGACAGAGCTAATATATTTAGCCTAAATACTAATTTGTAGTTTATTTTAAAATAAGAAACTACTTCATTAATCAGAACAATTTTACAGCATCTAAGTAACCTGTGCAAACCATGCTGACATCGTTAGAGTATAAAAGTTGTAAACTCTTACAGTTGGCATGTCTAACCTACAGTATCTAAATTGTGAAAAGATTCAGTCGATAAAGATTAGACCACATGTTCCTTTTGGGAAGTAAGTACCCAAAATATTCTACTAGGCTTAACGGATTTTAACTATACAGTTTAGGCTATAGTTCATTCATGATCTAAGGGATTTGAACCTGCTTCCCCATAACCAAAGTACCAAACTCTGAACTGTATACTAAACGGGTCACTGAAGTCTCTACTGAGATATTGTGTTACCTTTTATTACAAAGGAATTAAAAATAATATAGTATGCGTTGTAAATCAATCTAAAAGAACCAAATTTATAAATGGCCTATTCAAACAATTTACACACACAACAGCACTGCGCATTTCTGACCAAGGAATTGTTATACACAAAATCATCACTAAAAGGAAATCCGCTTCAATCAAATGTATCTCAAAGTTTGAGTATACACCGTCCCTTCAACTGACGTAATAATGTTTGATAAAGTACGGTATGTTAAACCATTAAATATAGTTGTAGACACAAATTAACACCTACGGCGTTACAAGAGTTCACAACTAGTGTAGCTAAATACTGAGCGTGCAGTCTGGTGGTTTACGAGAACAATTTCCGAAGGTGATCGTAAAATACAGAACATTACTGCCCAAGTCAACTCCTCCTCATCTCTAGACTGTATTATCTGAGCTGCAGGGTTGGACTGTATTGATAACATTATTGATGTATTACTGTAGATACGCTGCACTGTATGTATCTTTCGTAGGAGTTTTCGTACGCAAAAATTTGACTCTCAAAAAAATTTCTTCGAAATTTCTTCACTCAAAGAAATTTCGTAGGAGTTTAGGACTATGCAGTGTATACACTGCATAGTCGTAATGCTGTCATTTATACAGTGGGTAAATTAAGTCTTGAAACAAATCTGAATTTTTTTAAACCAAAATAGACATATTCTGTTTGTAGCATTGGTTCTTAACAAAGGTTTCAAAATGGTTACAAAAAAAGATTGTTTAACCCCCCTAACAGGGTAGGGGGTAGGGAGTGACTATTTTTTTCAAATAGCAATCCCTATTGAGTGACCCCTTACTTTGAGGGCTTGTCATTGTGTTTAATTTGACAAACTTGATGATAAAAAATATTTTTGATTAAAAAAGTTACGGAATCTTTGTTAACAATCGTCGCCACAAACAGAATATTTCTATCTATTTCGGTTAACAAAATACTGATTTGTTTCAAGACTTAATTTACACACTGTATAGATCTACTAGATTAATAGTCCTCATATTCTTGTCGAAGGGCTTTTACCACAGTTAATGATAATTTTAAACTTCTGGAAAAAGTTTTGTTTGAACGATTGTGGCTTTTTAAATTTCAAGCTCTTTAGAGTTTGCTCATCATTAAGAATTTTAAGAAGTAAACGAGATCCCTAAGCTAACAATTAGAGAATCAACCCATGCCTGCTTCGCTGGCTTTTTTAATGACAAGGCCCCACCATCCTTCATAAAAAATAGAACGCTCACTTAAAAACTGTAACCATAAATTATTTTATCTTTTGTTACATTGAATCGTGAATTAAAATAGGCTATTCTTACGCTTTCGTCTAAATTCTTATGTGCAATCCGATATACGGTAATAAACTATTCTTAAAAAAGGTTGAGAACTGAACAACATAAAAACACACATTTAAAAGTTAAATTTGAGCAAACCACTATTTAAATGATGGTTTGTACGAGTACAAAAATAATTATACCATGTAGACTTAGATAAATCACTAATCAATCCAGGAAAGGGTGTTGTCTAACGTTAAGGGATTTTTCAAAGATGTTTTTTGTCCTCTAGAATTGTTTTAAGCTTATGATACAGTGGTTCATTGGTTAGGGGTTAACTTAGACAACAACTACCTGTATTGTTGCCAGAACGATACAGTTATCCCAAGCTAATGTTAACGTTAGTTTTATGAATAAGTTCTTACTCAATATATTTTTACCAAGACAGATTCGTCCTCGAGATAGAGTTGTCCTCTAGATAATCTTTGTGACAAGTCCTCTTGTATAAACATTAAAAGTACGCGACAAGCCCATTAGGTGCCCAACTGGTTGTGTTGAGGTCATTAGACCAGTAGTCGGTCGTCCGCGGGCCAGTTCACATGAGGTGCTCGTGTGTGCAACAGTGTATCACTGTGAACCAAGCGTTGTCGCGTGACTTGATACTGCGTTGGACATATTTCATCTTTCACGATCTCACTCGGTCTCAACTTTGTGGTGTAATTGATGGCTTTACTCAAATAAGACGTTTTTGGTTGTGAAATAAAAATATAATAAAAATACTTGTTGTTATGTAAAAATTTGGTTTAATGAGGTGTGACGACAAATAGGTTATGTTTATAGTCCATGCTTCACAAATGGTGCTCTAAAAGCTAAACTACTATATGAGGATTTTCTCATATTCATTTCATCCAGTTATCATCATCCAGGTACAATCAGTGGTAAGTTCCAGCGACCTAATTACTTACATACTATGACGAGATTTTTTACTGTAAAGATATTGAAGAATTTTCAAACCCAAATATAGACCTATACTACCACAGATGATAATGTAGCTTAGGTGTTTGTACTCCAGCACTTAATGACTGATGTTAAGATATATAAAAAAAATATTCCAATTTAAAAAACCGTCTCGTCAATTTGAACCTTGCATAACATTTCCCAAGGCAAAACACAACAAACATGTATACAAAATCCTAAA